GACTGGGTTTGAGTGCCAGCCCTCCCACCAGGATGGGCTGTGCCAGCCAGAATACCCGCATGGTGGCTCACACCTTTAATCCCAGCATGGGGGTGGCTGAAAGCAGGAGGATCACCAGGAGTCTGACCTGCATAGTGAGACCCTGAAACAACCAAATACATTTTTAAAAAAACAAAACAACAACAAAACACTTTCAGGTGTGTCTGAATGAGTCATGGCAGTGTGACTGGGGTTGCTCTCTGGCTTTCGTTCTTTGCTGGTCCTGCTTCCCTGCTCTGCTCCCCAGCTGACCTAAAGGGGGCACCTTGGCTCTAGCACACAGTTTCCATCCTTATGCTCTGTGTGCAGAGCCAGCCAACCACGACCTGAAACCTCCAAAACCTTGAGCCCAATTAAACTTCTCCTTTAACTTGTGAACATTGAGTACTTGGCCTCAGGAATAGGAAATATGACTAATACAGAAAACTGGTGACAGAGAAATGGAGATGTTGCTGTGACTCTGGCTGATCAAGTAGTTCTGACACCTTTGGGACTGGCTTGCAGGTGGCTGGAAACATTTGGAGACAAGGCTTAGAATAGCCATAGAACAGTAGAAACCTGTGATTTTGCTGAAATTGCAAAAGACCAAATGATGCCAGGAATAACTGTGGCTAAGGAGGTTTCAGTTAAAAATGAGGACTCTTTTGGAGACTGGTCTAGAGTCTATACATGTTAGACACTAGGGAAAACAATGTGTACATTTTCCTCATGTCCGAAGACATTGTGAACAGCTCAATTTAAGAATAGTAAACTAATTGATCTGACAGAGGAAACTTCAAGGCAGCCCAACTTCAGACTGTAGTGTGGGTATTGTTGGATATTTTTAGCAAGATTCATAGTGAGAATTGAGATAAAAAGCCTAGCAGAAAGACAAAAAAAAATTGACTTTTATCTTTAAAAAAATTAGCATACCTAATGTTGGGGCAAAAGAGATGCAGTTGATTAGCAGGTTAGGACCATTATAAACAGATGCTAAGTGCTTGGAAGCAGGAAAATAAGAGGCCTTGAGCATGTCTTAGAAACTCACAAGAACCCAACCATTTGCAGGCAGAAGAGTGAAGAAGTACAGACCTTTCATTTGAGAAAAAGGCCCTAAAGGGCCATCTAGAGAATTGGTTCCCAAGGACTCATTTCACTGTGCACAGAAATCTAGGCACTCAGATTTCTGTGTCCACAGCCCAAGTGAGGTTCTTTTCTACTGAAACTGGAAGCAGACCTTGGCACTGTCTGCCTGGTGCTGGTTGTTCAAGATATGCAGAATGCAAGAGTTGTGGGGTGGTGAAGGTTTCAACTCAGATTCAAAGGCAGGCTAGGGATGCAGGCACTATGTCTATGAGAGGTGAGTATATAAGCTGTAGGAAAGAAGCTGAAGTTTCAGGAGAGACCCCAGGGAGATAGATGCCAGTAACATGCAATATCTTTTGATGAAAATCACAGGCAGGGTGTGGAGCAGGGTCGAGGGAGAGACCGTAGGCTGCAACCGGCCAAGACAATGGAGCAGGAGAACCCAAGAACACTATAACTCACATTGTACTGTGTGCCCCAAATGCCAGACATGAAACTACAGGACTTAGTATTTCCTCCTCTGGGTTTCCTTTTCCTAAACTAAGAGGCATACACTGTGCATTTGTTGTAAATACAAGTTAACGTAATGAATGTGAGAAATTTAATGACAATTTTAGTTGGTGAGGTTTACCACCCTGAAACTTGAGTAGTGTTTATTTGGCAGAAAAGTGATTTCTCCTGATATAAACTTGTGATAAAGCAAAACAAACACCTATGAGACAGGCAATTTCTAAACAACATTTCCCATGATAAGCCTTATCCACAAGCATGTCTCCAGACCAAAAGCAACTGACAAATTTATTAAATATAGACATCCCTTGCTTCCCACTCCACATTTGTCATTGTCACTCATTTAACTAGAGGCAGTTCTCCAGGCCTGACTTTGCACAAATTTACCACCTGGTGGCACAGAGCCAAACCCTTCCTCATCCCTTACTATCCCAAGCAGATGGCCCAATACTTAATGCAGCAAATAACTCACAATTTCCATTTATATGAGGTTCCAACCACAAAGTGTTTATTTGTTCTTATAATTGGTCTGTTGCCATCAATAGTCATTAAATCAAAACTTTTCCATGACTAGCTGAATACATATTACTTTATTTCGCCTTGAAAGTTGTAACTATTGTTTGTTGATTTACATATATATTGGTCAGGGTTCTCCAGAAAAAAAATATTTTATGAGAGAGAGATCTGAGGCACTTGCTTGCACGTTGTGGATGTTTGGCTGGTAGAAAATCTGTTGGAGGATGCCAGCGGCATGGATAGTCAAGAGGGAGCTTCAGTTAAAGATCAAAGCAATCTGTTGGCTAAGGAGCAAGGCATCAGTGTCATAAACACGATCTGAGGGAGTATGATGGCGAATTCTGTCTTGCTCCAGGAATTCAGTTTTCACTCTGTTGCAGGCCTCAACTGATTAAATTAGTTCCACCAACATTCTAGAGGGAAATTTGCTTTACTCAGAGTTCACCAATTTAAACATCAACCTCATGCATAAAGGTCTTTGCAGAAATATCCAGAATGATGTGTGACTAAGTACTTTCACCCTAAGGTCTAGCAAGTTAGCACATAGAACTCACCATCACCGTGCGATTGCTGGCTTCCTTCTGGCTCACTTGTGTTCAGTTGTCTTTTCTTTGCTACAGTCCTCTTAGGTCTTTGGAGTTGTCTTCATTACTTTTCTCTCATTGCTGAGAGAAAATAGCTGACACCCAACATTAAGAAAGGAAAGGTTTATTTAGCTCACAGTTTGTGGAGGGTTCAGTCCGCAATCACTTGGCTCCAAAGCATGGTGGCTTGGTACAGGGGCAACAGTTCAAGGCAGCAGAAGACAGCAAAAGCAACAAGAGCCAGAGGGGGAGCCCAAGCCTCCTTTCCTCCCTTCTGTCATCCACAGGCTGCCCACCTTTCAGCAGGTGCAGCACTCACACCATCTCGGTGTCATCCTCTTGCACAGGCTCCGGATGTGTACAAGCTGAGGACCCTGCGCCCTGCTGAGTCCCTCAGTTAAGCCTCTAACGTCGCCATGCTCACACTGACACAACGTACCAACCATTACGGAAATGATCATTTTGTCCACAGGGGTCATGCCCTGCGTAGTCGTGTAGCGCCCGAGAAAGTCCCAAGTCATCTTTCCTTCTAGCACCCTCTTGGTCTTGCTCAGTAATCAAGTGCATTAGCACTCAGAGCCTTTAATTTTGCCTCTGTGAATTAGATATTTTGGCCAGCTAAATCACAGATTTATTAAAATGATCAAGTGGGAGAAAAAATATATTAATGCACTCTATAAATTCAAATGCACATTGAAAATACATATTGAAGTTGTTTACATATCAAAAATCCCACTTTTAAAAACGAACAGAGGAGGGCTGGAGAGATAGACTGGCCATCTAAGTACCTGCCCTGCAAGTGCAAGGATCCATGTTCAATCTCCAGTGCCACATACTGTGGAGGATGGGCAGGCAGGCCACTGAGACCACGTGTGGTGGTACATTGTGCCTGTAATCCCAACACTGGGGAGGCTGAGACAGGAGGACCACTGTGAGTCGAAGCTGCTTAGTGAGACCCTGAACAAAATAAATAGATATTTTTAAAGTAATAAGAATGAGGGGCCAGGGAGACGACTCAGTGGAATAAGTGCTTCCCTGGCAAGCACAAGGGCCTGAGTTCAATCCCCAGTTCCGGGAAAAAAAAAAAAAAGTTATAAGAATGAGCAAAGTAGAAAAAATAGAAAATTTGTCCAGTGGAGCACATCACAGGTGAGTAATGGGCTCATTGAAATAAAAGACAATTGAATGAAAAAAGATTTGATCACTGTAAAAGCCAGCACACATCTGGCTAGCGTACCTTCTTCAACAGCTCCTGCTTTGGGACGCGGGAGGGAATTCATTAAGCTTGGGTCACACTTACTGCTTTGCAAATCTTCCAAGAGTTGAAAATTCTTCAAGTTCTACCACACCCAAGGTTACCTGTTATGAGCATGTCATTGCATAGTGGTAGAAAAATGTCCATTCCTGAGCGAAAGTCTTAGTTGTTTTTCTTGTTGCTGGGACAAAATATCCAACACCCATAAATTAAAGGATAAAAGACTTATTTGGGCCACAGTATGTAGAGGTTTCTGTCCATAGCCAGCTGGCCCTAGGCACAGTGGCACTGCAGAGGGGCAGAAAGAGGAGAAGCAGTCCGTGGCAGGGAAAGCAGAGGACAGTGAGTCCAAATTCTTTCAGTCCCTTTATATTCCATCCAGACTACAAAGCCAATGAATGACTGGTGCCACCCACACCCAGAACTATGCTAATCCAGCTAGAGGACTAATCCCGATATTACCATTCTTAAGCCACATTCACACAACTGAGATCCAGTCACCTGCAGAAAGCTCCAGCTATGAGTATACGAGGCTTTCGGGCACCATCTAGACACAAGCCATAACACCCATCTTCAACCCAAGCGGAGCACACCATGTTCTCACGGTGCTGAAGACTGTGTGGGTCTAGAAAATCACAACAGAGTATAGAAGTAAGATTCAGCAAACAGCAACAGCACATGATAAACATCTTGCAGTACCCTAGAAATGTGAAAAACACTGCGATTTCCTCAGACCTCATTGATTAAAACAATGAATGTTTGTAAAAGCCATTGCGTTTTCCAATACATCAGACCAGATTTGCTGCTCAATATATAAAGATATCTGCATCTTGAATACTACTTTTTTTAAATTCTGTGAGAAATGGAACCCACATGAGTTGACAGTGTGCTTTTACAGTCTTTGTAGTAATAAATGGACAGTTAACTTCCTGGGTGCAGAATTACATGGTGGGCAGTTCTGTTTCAAAATGTGCAGAAAAGTCAGTTTTATGAACACTTTGCTGATACTGCTTCTCTGCCACTTTCTCTAGGAATGCCCCAGCGGTGTTGTTAATGAAGAAACCTTCAAAGAGATTTACTCGCAGTTCTTTCCACAGGGAGGTGAGTACAAATGTGCACTTGTTAACATGCTCTGGGAGTCAGAATTACACTCGCAATCTTGAGTTTGGTTAATCTTTCATAGCATGACTGTACATTTTAAATTCTCTATGCAAAAAATTAATGCATAGCAGTGGAACACATATACTTTTCAGTGTGTTATAAAAGTAAGCTACTTACAAATGATCAAATATGTAAGAGTTTATTTTTTAGTCTCACACAGGTATTACTGTGTGTCTAGTATGATGGCTCTCCAATGTATGATGTTTTCTAAATTTTATAGGTATCCTCAAAATGGTTCAAGGTTTTTTTCACTTCTTTTATAGGTCCCATTTATTCTCCCAACTCTCTAAATTAGGGCATACGTAATTATCCTCAGTGTGCAGACGTGGAATCTGGGGCTTGCACGAGTTAAATGGCTTGTTCAGGGTCAGTCACACATCCGCTCAGTGGCAGATCTGGGTTATAACCTAGATTTTTCTGCAGCCTTGTCTAATTTCCTTTTGCTGTCTCCTCTGCCTTTCAATAACTCTTTACTATGAATTCCTCATCTATGAAAACTAACATACTCTAGAAATTATTTTAATTGGAAAAAATACAAGAGCAGTGTAACAATGGCATATGTGGTTTAGAGGTGAGTGGAGAGATGACATTGGATCGTCCATTTTTCTACCAATCATTCAACAAATCCCAGGATCTATTGTGCCACCCAGCCAGGTGTGCCAAGCTACATGTGAGGTTCTGCTAATGGAAGAGAAATAAGAATAGTGCAGTCCCTGCCCACAAAGTCTAGCAGCAGAAGAAAACGTAAGCGTGGAGATGAGGATTTCAAAATTGTACAGTGAGAGCCTTCTGTGAGCATATTTAACCAACTGGAGGACAGGAAAGAAATACAAAAGAGGCTATCCAGGTAAACTGAACCTGAGCTGAAAGGGATACGCATTCTAGAGTTTCTAGTATGTGTCTAGCCTGCCTTACCCTGTCACAGGCTAACAACCCTAACTATGACCTTCTCTTTATGTAACTACGGAAACAAGTTCACATCTAAAATGCCTAGTCTTTCACTGCCTCCTCAGGCTTCTCAGGAGACTCTTCACTGCTAAGTCTGATGGCTTCCAGCTTTATCAGGCATTAGAGGGGCACTCTAGGCAAACGGGCTGTAACCAAAGTGTGCTCACAAAGATGAAGGTGGATATTTGCAGAAAATTGACAGAATTTGGGTGAAATGTCCTATTGAATCATGAATACTGTGAAATAAATTGGGAATTTGCATTATTGAGATGATCCCAAGCCACATAATGGCTGAGATAGGATCTGTTATCAGGTCTTTCTCTTATATGTCTTCTACTGACAGCTCTGTGGAGGATTAATTTAAGGTAGGCAGCACTACAGGCAGAAAAACTAATGAAGGAAGTGTTTCTGGAAGCAAAACAATGTGTGTAATGAGGACACACACAGTAGAAACCGAAAAGTTGGGAATGTAGGACTATAGGTATATTTGCATGACAAAAAAATGGAGTTTGATGAATGATTCAGTTTCTGTGAGGAGAAGTGGAGTGTGTGCCAACTTCCAGGGTTCTATCAGGGACACTTTGTAGCTCTGAGAGGACTAGAGAGGCAGGGATGAAAGTTTCACACAAATTGTACTGGGGATGCCTGTGAATGTTAGGAATCAACAATAGACTGACACACATGAAAATGAGGAAAAGCAAAGAAAAAGACAGAGATTATTAATGGCATGATACCTAAATACATGGTGTGGATGGTGTGGGTGAGGACAGTGGAAGAGTATAAAACTGTGGAGCCTCACAATGAAAGTTCAGAACACATATAAAAGTCATGAGATGGTAGAAGAATGCACAAACAAGCAAATAAAGAGACAAAGATAGGGGAATAAGCCCAAGGGAGAGTGACAGTTTAGAAATAAGGAGGATGAAAACATTAAACATCTGTTAGGCAAGAAGTCCAGGAAGGTAAGGATAGGAAGGCATCCTCGGGATGTGGCTACAGGGAGGTTGGCGTGGAGTGTGATCAGGGCAGCTTCATAACAGAGTGTGGGTCACAGACAGAAGCCACAGTACAGAGGGCAAAGAGCAAATGGAAGGTAAGAAAACAAGGATAGCAGCAGACAAGGCTCTGATGGGAACCAGCCTGTGAACGTGCAGGGTGAGGTGGAAGCTCTCTAGAGCGCCACGCAGATGCCAGTGGAGGAGTGTACATGGAAAGCCTGGAACGTGTCTGCATACAGAGGAGCTTGGGAAGAGGGCGACACTGGTAACTCATGGATAACACAATTCAAACCTGTAAGAGAAAATGATAAGAGATGGCAGAGGAAAGACATGAATCAGGAGTCCAGGAGGAGGCTTCACTTTGCATTGAAGGCGAGCAGTCAGTCCTTCCTTTTGCTTTTGACCTCTACTCAACATGGAAGCAGCCAGCACTTTCTGTGGTTGTTTCCAGAATATGCTTTGGCATTGGTCTTCCCATTGGTCCTTCAAAATGCTTTTCACTTGAAAGCACTACTGTCATCTTTGGGCAAAGTAAGTCCATAGTTTCTCACCTGATCTCTCTGATTTTGTTACCTCTCTTCCAAATATGGTCTCTTTGTTACTTTCCTCTTGCTAAGACAAAATACACAACGCCCACAATTTAAGGATAGAGAGGTTTATTTTGCCCCATAATTTGTGGAAATGTAATGAGCTGGCTCTCGGGTGGGGCACGTGGCAGCAGGTATGGCATAGAGGCCTGGCAGAAGGGCCTGGCAAAGGAGAAAGAACTCATGACAGAGCAGTCAAGAAGCACCATCATTCCGCTGTAAACTCACCCCTGGACTCATCCACTGAGTCCACACACCCACAACCCAATTGCCTCCCAAAAGCCCCACCTGTGGGCACATGAGGCTTTGAGGGACAGGCAGATAGGAATCTTAGCATGTACTCAGCTCTCAAAAAAGCCAGCGTGATTCTGTTATAATGAAGTCCAGATCAAGTCACTGTTCCACTCACAACCTTCTGATCTCACAAGCCTGCAAGTGTGGCCACTGATCTGTTCTTCTCTGATCTTACCTTTCACTCTCCCCCAGACATGTTTCTTGCCATCTACAGTGGCTTCCTTGGCATTCAGCCAGTGCAGGAATCCACTCATCCTGTTGCTACTTCTGCAGCACTGAACGTACTATTCCTCATTCCCAGGATTCATTTCTCTGAAGCATCTGTGTCAATACCTCTTCACCCTTGCTCTCATTCCAACCCCATCTTCTCACTGAGCTGATCTCTGGCTGTACAGCTTAAGCTGAAACCACACAGACATCACCCATCCCTGTCCCCTACTTACTATTTCACTTTGGCATCCAAGATAACCTGATAATTTCTTCCTTCTGTTTACCGTCCCTCTCTCCGCCAAAGTGTCAGCTTCATCAAGTAAACCTGTGGTCATGGAACAGTGACTGAAAGTGATAGTGCTTAATGAACATTTATTGCATAATGGAGGCAGGAAAGAAGGAAAGAAGAAAGGAAGGAAGAGAGGGAGGGAGGGAGGGAGGGAGGGAGGGAAGAAGGAAGGAAGGAAGGAAGGAAGGAAGGAAGGAAGCCCATCTTACATGGTGGCTATAATTCTACAAAGGACTAATATCTATAAAAATGAATTTTGAAAATCATAGAGTACCTAAATATTAGTTGTTACAGTGAAAAATTATATTCTTTTCTGGTTTTCATTCTATTTGGTTTTAGGTATGTAACTGAGTTTAAAGTAATTGCATGCAGGACCTATCAAACCAGAATTTTTGTTGTAAGATGTTATCTTAAAAATTAAATTACAATCATGAGAAAACACACAAAGACACACTTTTTGCAGCTCTGGACATGCTGAGGGCAACAACTTCCTGCTCCTTCTCGTTGCTACAACTCACGGAGAAAGTGCTGAGACACCACAGGCAGATAATGGTTACAACACCTGATGCCTAGCTAGTAATGGGCGATTGTTTGCATAATGAATGACTGATTTGTGTATCATTTAATTGCTTCATATTTTTCTAAGTTATTTAAAATCTATACAATGTTTTAATAAAATTCACATTCACTATCAGAATGCCAACATATTAACAAGTATTGATATCGAAGCACCAACACATATGTACAACTTTGTTATAGTTCATGATTTCTAGAAGTTATTAAATAATACAAATCAGTTATTTTTCATTTTAAAATTTCTTAGTAATTTATCAGTTTATATAAAAACACAAGTCAATATTTTTGTATACAATAATAACAAGTTACTAAATTTTGTAAGAATAAAATCTTGTAATGTAATCACTCATTATGCCAACAAGGACCACAGATCAGGGTTATTTTCAACAAGCCACATGCCAAGCCTAAATGAAGAAAAATTCAAATTGGCATGAAAATAAAAAGAAGAGATGCTCAAATAAATGGAAAGACTTTCTTGAGGTGGGATAGAAAAATTCAGCCTAAAGATCTTATGATTTCCAAGTTAATATGTATGTTTACAAACATTTATGTACATTTATGTTTTAGTTTAAAGAGAATAAAAAATAATAGATAAGACATTAGAAACAATATAGAATTTCAAAAGAAACACACAAGCTGACAGATATTCAACAACGGTTGTTATATTGAACATTGCTGTCATAATAGAATTTTATCTGTATTTGTAAAACAATTATTTTTCCATTAGAGAATACTTAAGTACAGAGCATCTGCTTTGCAAAGGATTCTGGTTAGAAAATCCAAAAGGCATTAAGAAAACCCATTTTTGCTCTTAAAAATTCTTTGATTGTTCACATTGATTGAATGCATAAATCTAAAAGTAGCAGGCTTCATCTAAGAGAATGAAGTGTTTTAAAGAATGATGCCTTAAATTTTTAAAGTTAATATTGAGCATATAAATTGTATCTTACAGTGATGCTAGCAAAAAAAAAAAAAAATCTTCAGCAGAAGGCAAAGTCCTGGCATAACAGTTTTTATAGTCCTTCCATTGAATTATCATTTATTCAGGTTAATGATCTGAAAGCAACAAGTTTCCCTCATTATTAATAGAAAGGAGGAAGCTTTGGCCAATCATATTTCACCATTTCCTCCATGAAAATTATTTGTCTAATGAACAAACACCCTGTGTAATTTTTATTATATCAAGCTCAGAATTATTTAATGAGATAGTTTAACAAGCACAATTTATAGAAATATCTAGGTTGCAGGGTGATAAATATTCCTGCTATGAAGTAGGAAGAGAGAAACAGATATGTTGTTGTGGCCTATATGGCCACTTTTTCGACTCTACTTGTAATAGAAATGTTAGCCCATAAACTCTTTTTTGAGGCAGGGTCTCACTATATAGTTCAGACTAGCCTTAAAGTCACTATATACCTTACTCTGACCTTGAACTCCCAGCAACCCCCTTGCCATAGACTCCCAAGCAGTGGAATCACACACATGTTTCACAATGCCTGATGCTAGCATATAAACCCTTAACTCACTTCAAAAGACAGTTAAGAATAAGTTCCCTGAGCTATTCCTGCTTGTGGTAGGAATTTTGGACTTTGTATATACAGGTGCCAAATTAACAGATAATAAATCAATGAATGCATGGGCTCAAGTGAAAAGAATATTGCCATTGAGTAGAATTATTCACAAGATAATTAATGTACTTACACAGAATTTGTGTACATAAAGATTAAAATACATTTTAAAAACATCGATCCAGTATCTTTATTGTTGTGGGACAATAGCTGTAACAATTTTCAGAACGAGTTATACTGCGTGCGTGTGTGTGTGTGTGTGTGTGTGTGTGTGTGTGTGCATATTTGCTGGAGATCAAACAAGCCAAACACATGTTTTATTATTGAGCTACATCTACACCCTGGGCCCTAGAGGATCTGTGTACAAAGCTACCAGTCATGCAGTGAATCTGCCCCATCATGCTGATGGCACCATGAATTGCATATTTGAATACTTTAAACTAATTCTCTGCCTTGTGTTTGAATTCAGGTGAGGGCAGGCTTTGGGGTGGTAAGAAGAACTCAACCAGAGTCATTTGATGTTCTAAACCTGAGGCATTGTCATCATTGAAGTTAGTTCACATAAACAGTGTCATCCACAAATAATTGGGTTAAGAACTCTGAGCTAACACAGGAGTCCCAAGTCTATGGGTAGGCTGCCACCATGAACATCTGTGACCTCCAGGTGCTTAAATTTTGGGCCTCAGGTTGTTCATCTGTAAAATGTGGGAATCAGAATGAGATTGTTCAATATTTTGTCTACTCTAACACACTTTACTGTAAAGCATTCACAATTGGATGTTTTCATTTCATTACTGTCCCACTGAGACCTAGGTGATGACTATAACTGTCCAAAAGTTCCTGCACATTTTTCCCACTTTTGTTACCTGGACACTTTGCTACTACCAAAAATCTCCTCTTATCCTCCAAGTTTATACATTTTGCTATTCAATTATAAAATTTTAACATATACATTCTAATTTCACATGTAAAATTGTAGGAACCCAAGGCAACATTGGCATAGCAACCTAAATAATTATTTTTGTGATGTAGTAAGATGTGATCATACAGGAGTTATCCATCAAGTAGGGAGGAGCAATCTTAGTACTTTTTAAAGCTGTCAACTGTGCTGAAATAGAGAATCCAGAAACCAGCTATTCATCCTGTTAGCAGACATTTACTAGAAATAGTACTATCGAGTGAGGCCAAGACCATAGAGGCTCATGTGCGCAGTTTCTCCTCATCACACACAGCTTTGTACTGGAGCAGGCATTCTAGTCCCAGGGCTCTGTCCTCTTGCCCAATCAAAGTAAGTAGCATCACTGCTGTGCTTTAAAAATTAGTATTCCCGGGCAGCAGAAATCCAACTCCATGCGAAGGCTCCTTACTTTTCATGACGTAATTCTATTGGCCTTTGTTGAGCATGCAATTGTGTCAAATTAGAACTCCAGCCACCTAGACACAAAGTAGAGAGTTTCAAAAACAAGAACTTTTATGTGACAAAATGTCACATCTGTAAAAGATTTGACCACACTTTCATTGTTGTTGTAGTTGTTGTGATTTAGTGCATGTTAGCAGTATATGCAGTTCATAATACTGGGGTCAGGTATGCTGGTGCATACCTGTAATTCCAGCACTTGGGAGGCTGAGGCAGGAGGATCATTGCAAGTTCGAAGCCAGCCAGGGCTACAAAGTGAGTTCAAGACCAGCCTGAACTGCATAGTGAGACCCTGTCTCAAAAAGACAAAAAAAAAAAAAAAAAAAAAAAAAAATACAATGATATTGGGGAGTGAGTCCATGTACATAATATTAGTTGTTTGTTTTTAATCCTCTTCCTCTTCCCTCATAGTGAGCAAAATTTTTAAAGGTAGTTGGAATAAGAATGGCTGGTGTCCTTGAAAGACTATTTGTTGAATATTGCTGACAATTCTAAACACTTTGCATATATATGGTAATTCACTTAAACCTCATAATATCTCTATAATCTACAAACTGACATTGTTATCATTTATACATATGGAAACTGAGTCACAGAGACATTAAACAACTTGCTCAAGGTCATGCAGTTAATCTTTAGTGAAACTATAGTTCAGAATCAGACAGTCTGACTTGACTACACTATTAATGAAAGTCTGCTGTGTGATAAATCCAAGCTAAAAGGCTTGCATAGCTTCCAGGAGAATTGCCAGGTCCATGGGGAAGAACAAGAAGTCCTCTGAACTCCACTAGTGTAACCCTTGAGAGTGTCACTGCAACGCATCAGACTTTAAAGCTAGAGAAATCTCATTTGAGATGAAATTAGCATACACCTGTGACACCTTGTTTTTCTCTTTTAACAAATTACAATCATTTGCTCAAGGCTGTTATTCATGGGGAGTTTTGTTAGTTGGGCTAAAAACTTCTACATTGACTGTATAAATAGGGTAACAAGAGACTTACTTAATTAAGCTCATTATAAAATATGCAAAATTTCTCTTTTTTTTCTCCCCTGAAAATAAGTTTAACATACCACTTACCATCTCACATCCTCCCAGAATACTAAGTCCATTAGTAACTTTGGGAACGTGAAATATTAAGAGCAAACCAACTTTGCAAACAAAAATCGGCTGCCAATTCTTGATCACTCTACAGTAGAACTTCCCAGCAATAGCACTAAGTCAACTTAAGGGAAGCCCTTGGTTCCGTATCCAAAAGGATTTCTTCCTGCAGTCCATCAAGGCTATGTGCACCTACACCCTAGACAACATGGTTTTACATATTATTTAGACTCCAATATTTTTACTTAGTTATTTCACTGACAACAAATGTTAATGATTCACGTGTTTGAAAATAACTGGTTCTTGTCTGTGACCATGCCATCCTGAACATGGCTGATCTCATCTGAATATAAGTCATTCTTCATATCACATTTCAAGGTAAGAGATGAGAGAAGACCACAATCCTTTGGAGAAAATGAGGATTCATTCCACGTCACTAAAAGTATGATCTTCAATAGCGTTAACCACCAGAGTGAAACATTCAGGAAAAACAATCACTTAGTAGATTATGAGCCCTGAGAGCCCAGAGAGGAGCTTGGATTTCTTTGGCAGGAAGTGAAGTTGTTTAAAGGAGGAAGTAATGCTGCTACCTTTGGCGGGGCAGGAGGCAGGAGTCAAGGCAGACCCTGGAAGGCCTGCTCCCTCTTTTCTTTGGGAAAGACAGGTCTATGCTGCTGCCCCGACTTAGTTTCTTGAGAGCACTTTAAAAGCAATTCATAAAGTAAAAATTGAATAGAGCACATGTTAAATCCTAGTAAACATAAAAGCAGAAAGTGATAAAATAGAAATAGATCAGATTTTAAACAGAAGATAAAAGGCTAGAGCCAATCAGCTGAAAGGTTACAATTTTTCAACATAAAAAAAGCTTAAGACAAAAGGCTAAAACCCAGGAGATGGAACATTTAAGATAATCATGTAAATCTGATCAAGGATCAGGCCCAAAGGCGCTTCAGAATGAAAGCTGGACATGAAGAAAAGACAACAGAAAGGAAAATTGCACTTTCAAAATCTAAATGCAGAAAGCAGTTCAAAGATTAGCAAACAGGAGAAACAGGAAAAGAAGGAGGGAGGCAGGAAATAAGCAAACAAAGAGCAGGACCCAGATGAGGCACCTGGGACAGAGCGCTTGCCATGCTTGTCCTCCATTGCCCAGAGTCCTGTACACACCTGGAGCCCGGAAACGCTAAGGTCTCGCTGTGACCGAAACTGCAGCACCGCTTCCGGTGGGGCCACGGAAACCTCCCCCGCCTGCGCTGTGCACACCCATGAGCCAATTAGCTACTTCTTGTGTCGCCTGCGTGATTTTGTGCACTTTTCTCAACCTCTCGGAGCCCCGATGTCTTTTTCTGAGTTGTAAAAATGATGAAAGTTCTAAGAATAGAACGCTGCTCAGTCTCATGCTTTGTATTCTTACCACTTTATTTCTGGAGTCTCTGCCAAGCCCTAAGCAATTTCCAGATGTCTCCCATAATCCTCACGTCCACCTGTGGGCCTTATTCAGTCCTGTGCTGTTATTGTTAGCCAAGACTCGCATATGTTCAGAGCATTTCCAGCCAGAAACACAGACAATGCCTGTCACAGTGGCCTCTGTGTGTGATTCCTGTAAGTCGCAAATGGTAGTCTTTTACCGAGGGACATTAGGAAGCTGAGAAGACAGCATAAGCGAAAGAGGATGAATTAATTTTCCTGAATAAAGGGAGGCTTAGATCTTATGTAGGCTATCAGCACACCGACCTAATGATATTCCCTTTTCAATATTTCAGACTCTACAACGTATGCACATTTTCTGTTCAATGCATTCGATACAGACCACAATGGAGCTGTGAGTTTCGAGGTAAGTCCTGGACTCTTTTTATGTCACTTGGCTTAAGACATTCTGAAAGGGAGTTTAATTCTTTAGTAGGAAAATCAGCTTTGGTGATTTGATCCCTTCTCAGCAGAAGAAACAAGCCCAAGAACACTTTCTTTCCCTCATTGAATTTCCAAGAAGCTGTTCTTATCTCTCCAAAGAAGTGCAAATTACAACTTACTCAGTTTATTTTCTAGTAGTATTTAATGTGTTCGTAAGAGATCAGGTTTTCCTCAGCTATATGAGAACAATCTCAGAAGACAAATGATTTAACTAACATGTACTGATTCCTCCTGTAGGCCTATCATTGTGGTAGGCCTTGGGAATACAGCAATAATGTAGTCAAAACCTGGACATGGAAGCCCCTGAAAGTGGTAGAGACAGGCAAGAAATTAAATATGGAAATATTCTATATTCACCAGCCCAACATGTATACAAGGAAATGCCTTCTTTTGTTTATGTATTTGGTACAGAGTCTCACTATGCAGTTCAGACTCGCAGTGATCCTCTTGTTTTCAGCCTCCCCAGCACTGAGATTACAGGTGTGCACCACCACGCCCAGTTTTGGTGGCCAGCTCAGTTCACCCAGGGGGCAGGGCCAGTCCCACATGTAGTGCCAGGGATAGAACTCAGGTCCTTGTGCTTGCCAGGCACTTAAGCTTCTGGGTTATCTCACCAGCCAGGAAATGGCTTCTTAAGTTATAAACTTGGGGTTATCTATAAAGAAAGCATGTGAATTTGTTCATAAAATACTATGTATAAGCATATAGTAAAATCAAGCATGTGTAGATAATCACATAGCCTATTTATATACAATGAAACGTCTTTACTATGCATATATACATGGGCGGGGGAGTCATTTATATGACTCATATGGTACCTAGCAGGTCACAAGTAATAATATGTTTAAATCCAAGTGTTAGGTGAATAAGCCAAACACTAATTGTGAAAAGCTGTGAAGACTGGCACTTTTTATTTTTGTTAAAACCATGGTTACAGTGCTATCTCACCTATTTGCTTATATTCTGAATGTCTGTGGTTCATTTCTGGGCAGTAGTTTTGTCCATTATTTTACTTTGTAATTCTGTTTTTGGATGGATGGATGGATGGATGGATGGATGGATGGATGGATGGATGGATAGGAAATGAAGCAACTGGACAGATAAAATTATGAGAATGCAGCTTCTACATGGGCAGAAATTTCAGTTACAGACTGGGACCAGAAAGGAGAAAGTTCTAGAAGCAAAACAAATGGACCCTGTAAAAATAGCAGAATCTCAGGAAGAGAAGAAAAGCCAGAATAGGAAGCACTGGGACACGAGGGAGAGGACCAGCACAGCACATCAGGCCTGGAAAGGAAGAGTTCATGTTGGGAAAACATCCAGAAGATTGAACACTGATGCAAGAGCCAGGGTCAAGGCAGCAGAAGGAGACAGAGCCAGGGTTTGGCATGTCCCAGACAGGAGATTGGACTGTCTTGTAGGAGATAGGAGTGCTAGGGAAATTTCAGCGGGCCTGGTCAGATCGTTGAACTGTTTCTGCAAACTTAGAGTCATTTGGTAGTTATAGGAACAGATAAGTGCTGAACTGTGCTAAAGGCTTTGGAGCCAAATGCAAAATATATTTCAAATGAACTCAGTAGAATCATACAAATCTGCCCTGTTCAGGAGGGGACAAATTAATCTGGTCCACTCTCTGAGTGCAAGAGCTGTGTGAAAAAGAAATGTGGAGGCTCTCGAGATGTCATCAGGGCAGGGGTCCTGGGGTGCAGAATTTCCAGGTACAGCATAGTAGCAGAGTATCACATCCTCTGGCCTCAAGCACATGGAACAGTGGGACCTAAAGATGCTGGCCCGGGAACCCCAAGGTGTCGTCTTGCATAGCATGACCAAGTTATCACTGAGAAGACAAGCGTAGGTGTGGGCCATGATGAAGGGCATCTGATGTAAGGAGTCAGGACAGAGTGGGTGGGTTTATCCTAGAACAGGAAGCAGGTCAATGGGGCAGGGCAATGGGAGCAAGGAAGCCCTAAGTAGCAACTCTTCTGTAATGCTTCTCCTAGCTAGCAGCCTGGACCACACTGGGAGAATTTCCCCTTAATATTCATTGTGTTTTACCCCAAGATTAATTCTAGCACACCCTCAGTTTAGCTATAATCTAGAAGTCAAAGTTCTACTTCACCTAATTTAAACACGAAATGACATTTATAGTTAGTTGAGGAAGAAAAAAAGGGCAAAAACTACTAGTAATTTCATTACTTAAAATAATTTAAGTATCAAAGAACATAGCATTAGTTTTCCCTAGTACCTTATATTTGCATGTAAATTGAGTCTGACATTAATAATGTGAGATTATGCATAATGCTGCTTTTATATTTATTTAAAATACCAGTAATTACAGTGAATGCTGATTGTTATGTGGGAAATTAGTTGCAATGATTACATATGATGTGTGTGTTGGTACAATATCTTTCCTTTTAAAAGCTAGCTAGTGACTAAATCAACAAATATTGAGTTAAAATCAAATTCAAAAGTAGGCTATTAAAGTTATTTTTCTAAATTCATTAGCTACTTATAAAATTTCTAGAAAGCAGAAGTGATAAGTTTTAAAAAATGTGTTTTGAGTAACAACAGCAAGCCAAAGGTGCAGCAGGGAGACCACCCTCATTTTTAACATAAAGGAAAATGGAAAATTTCTATTTAATTTGCTTAAACCTGAAGGACAGAATAAATGAGTCTGGAGGGCCTCTGGGTTTGAATAAGACTGTATCTAATCTCCATCTCAGCATCAAATGGCTGTGAGACCCGGGGGCTGAGTATTTAAATCTTCTGGGCCTTGTCTTTATATCACCTAATTAAAACAGCAAGAAAGGGAACTTCACAGGGCAGAATAAGACAGGAACAGCCTCACTACAGGACTCGGATCTGTGCCTGACACCGAGCGTGGGCTCAGTATTCATCAGCTGTTAACTATAGCAGTTACTACTTGGGGAAAGTACTAGCAAAGAGAATGATACTGGTCATTACACCTCACAGTGATCTTCCACTTTGAGCATATTCAAGCAAAAGCTAGAGGATGACTCCATTATGCTATGAAAGAGGTCTCTAATTGTAATGAGTATTTACCATTCAAGATCTTAAAATGTAATTAACAAGAGTAATAGCTCCATAACAATACATATTATTTCCCATTTATTATGTTATGCGTTGCACTGATCATTTGTCTTAGTTAACCGTCCAGGCACTATTAGCATCTCCTTTTTAGCAAATAATAAAGGGATTAAGCAACATGTCATTGCCACACAGTCAGAAAGTGACAAGCCCAGGACTCAAACCCAGGTAGTCAGTGAGGTATGTAAGAACTTACCCCAATTACATCCTCCAAACCCCCAAACTAAAATTCTCAGAGATAGCTGAGACTTTTCCTTAGTATTCTATGCCCAGGATATATATCCATATCTGCAGGGTCTATGGCATTCTACAGTTAAATGTGCAATACTGGAGAACTAAAGTACGAGAAGCATGGTAGAGCCAGCAACTGCTGAGCCGTGTTGCCCCTCTGCTAGGGCCATGTTTTGAGCCTCGCCTGCCACTAAGTAGAGGCAGGACTGAGCTTCTAATAAAGGACATGGGTAGAGTAATACTTCCTTCTTCTCTCCCCTATTTGTAGAGACAGTAAGGTCACATATTCCTGATAAACTTGTAGGGAAGTGGGAGAAGCCAGGACCAACCATCTGCATTTGTGCTTCACTGTGTGTGAATGACAAACTTACCTTATGCAACGTCACTAAGATTTATGGGTATAGATAGACTGCTAATGTCTCTGACTAACGCAACACATAGATGCTAAATAGATAGATGATTATACATAAATTCGTGTCAGTTAAGTTCAAGCTTCAGCACCAAAGTGAGTTTTAGCAGTAAAATTCAACACTGTCATCTCTCTGCAATAAGTGTTTTAAATTCATAACCTTTTAATAAATCACAAATAAAAAGTGAAAGGCTTCTATTAGTGGCAATAAGTTACAGATAAGGAGTTCAAAATTTAGAGAGGTTGAAGTATCCAAAGGCATTCAGTTAGATAAATTGGAACCAGGTCTATGAAAATCTCTAAAACTTATGGTCTTAGCCCAGCATAGTGTTAGTAAAACCTATAATCCTAACCCTCTCGGAGGCTGAGGAAGTTAGTTCATTATTTGAGCACAACCTGATTAACCCAGGAAAATTAGTGAATCCCTTTCTCAAAATCAGAAATCAAAAATCAAAAGGGCTAGAGAAGTATCTCAGTGCAAGTACCCTGGGTTCAGTCCTCCCTACAAGGAAACAAACAGCAACAGCAATCATAAACAAGAGCCTTAATAAGGGAACTTTAAATTTTTCTTTAAAGGGCCAAATAGTTGCTAGTATGGCTTCTCTGACTGTATATCCTATTACATCTATTCACTTCTGCTATGGCCACAGAAAATCTCCAAATAAATGGGCATGGCTATGTTCCAAACAAGCTTTATTTACACAACCAAATGGGGTTCCATTATAACCCCAGGGCCATAATCTTCCAACTCCTCTCATTATCAATCACTACAGGGTCCTGCCTACTGAGGGAAAGCCTTATTCACATGTTCATCAGATGAGTTCTAAAGTGGCATCATTCTATGATTTGATTACTGAACAGTCTCACCATTTAATAATCCAGCTTGTTCAAAAAATCACCGATTCCTGACATAGTTGTTGGCTGCATAACTGACCATCGTAACATGTACCAAATATGACCGCCATGGGGTTGAGACCCACTGCTAGGATCTCCCAAATGGCAAGATTACTGAGATTCCTGAGGGGAAGATAATATACATTTGTCCTTCAGGTCAGTTCTGTAGTAACTATTATGGTTTGTGTCTAGATGTCCCCCAAAGCCTCATGCAGTCATGTGGCGGCTTCTAGAATTTGTGATTTATGCTTGATCCAATGCTAAGATTATGGATGTGAGTG